TGAAAAGTCATAAATCCCCCGCATTGTTCGGTTGACTGCTCCCGCGACTGAGGCCAATATCGCGATGGGCCACCAACAGAGGGGTTGCGAAGCGTGGATCAGGGATGGCGCCACCGTAATGCCAACCACCCCCGACTGACGGAGGACCGGCAAAACCACCCCCGTAAAGCAGTCCGCCACCAGGGGGTTTGGAAAGCCGCCATTTCTGCCTAACTCCGCAGTAGCTATATCCCACGCCTTTTATACCAATGAAATGTCAAGGGATGCCGCGCGCTATAGACACGCCGATGGTGTCGGGCTATTCGGCTCGGGTCTCATAAGCTCGCGGTTCCTCGCGTACTGCCGGTTCCTCGCAGCGGGGTTGATTGCTGCCGTGCTGCTGGTGGTGCGGTGGTGTTCCATAAGCCTAAAGCCCCGATCCCGGTTTGTGCTCGGCGCGTCCGCGTTACGCACGAGTCAACGCGTCCACGCCGATTGAGTGACGCTGATCGCTCGGGGGTCGCGCGCCGCGACTACTCGTGTTCGACTTCTGGTGCTGCCGGTTGGATCCCGCGCGCGTCCTCGCGTCTCACGCGTACTATCGATAGAGGTATTGTCGAGTATAGCCCGGCTGGAGCTACGCCTGAAAAAAAAAGAGACAGGCGCGACTCGATCCGGCCACATTGCTGCAATCGCAATTGTGGCTCGAGCCGAGGGCGATTGACGCGGCTCGAATGACCGCGGCGGCACGCACGAGCCGGCCTCGCGGTGAATCGAACTTGAAACGCCGTTCGTCGAAACCGAAATTCTTTCTCGCTGAAGCTACAACCCTGAGACGACGGATACAGTGGCGAAAGCTCTGTCGAGGGAGAAGCTACGAGGCGACGATCAAACATCCGCGCAAATACTGGCTGAACAAAGAGAGCCGCTCATAAAAGTCGCCTATGCCTCGAAAGACGGTCAGGTAAAAGAAGTTGTCCATCGGAGACCGCCGCCGAATCGGTTCGCGATGAGCGAGCAGGATGTCGACGATGTTGCTTTTCTGACAGGTGAGACCTCCTATCCGGCTGCTCGGCCGGCTGGGGATCATAGAGGCGCGATCGCGTGCCTTCGGCGCTCGCCTCTGACACGATACGCGTCTGCTATACCTAGACAGTTACTTTTCCATAAGAACACCTCGGCCAGATGGCCCACTTACGGCCCCCCGCGAGCTGCGAATAGACTGCGAAGCACGTGTGTGCGATCAATAAAACGAAAGCTTCCTCCGATCTTTCGAATTAAAGCGTGCACACTTGCTTCTCGCCCACGCGCACCCTTGTATCGCAACCACTCGCCCACGGCTTTTGTTACTTAGGTTTCTTTATTGACAGCGGAAATAGATATGTGTGACGAGATGATGTTGTTCAATAATTTCATAACGCGCATCCATGTATGTACGTGTAACGTAACGGCGTAACAAAATATATTTGCAATAAATGTTCTACACGTTAGACGTGTCTAATTTATACGAATTGCTGATTTTGAAAATAATCTAAGCTTCTTTCGAGACTTATAAATTTACAGGTTTAATTTATTTCCGCAATAGACTTAAAATTAAAGTTACTTGGACACTAACATCCTATCTTGGCTCTTACTCCTTTATTATTTAAAAGAAATTTTCGAAATTTACATGTGTCAAAGATAAATACATTTTTGCATTATTCTATTGCAATATAATTGTATGTAACACTCTCTGTGTATAGAGGTCTATCAATTTAATACTCTTTTATATATTAAATTATTTTTAATAAACGTGTATAAAGTCTAAACAGTTATTCGATCTTAAATATAAGTAAAAATTTTTTTAATGTAGTACGTTAAGAACACGTTAGCATTCCATCTCTCGTATAAGTCAGGTGCATCAATTATTCTGCATAGTCGTACAGCAATTCAAAATTCAGGTCAAGGGTGAGGACGTAGCTGTGAGGAGAGCAAACTCTTTATTATACACCCGTAAAAATATTAAATATTGATAACCTTATATTAAATTATTCGATTAAATATAATCGATAAATTGGGATAAGTCAAATAATACAAAAATAAAAGTATATCTTCCATGTTTCTGTATGTGTACCGTTTATCTTTAATATGTACAAAACAATTAAAAATCGGAAATGTAGATCTATATTGGAAGTTATGAATTTATTTTTACTTTGCGAATATATTGGTTTATCTCGATTTGTTGCGCGTGCGGAAATGAAATTAAGCCGATAAAGAGACATATTTGATTGGATCATATATTTACAGCTGTTCATGGAATTTATACAATCAGTTAAAATTAATTATACTAATTAGTATGTAAATTACGCAACAATTACGAAATTTATAGGTACATTTATACATAATTGTATAATATTGGAGCGAACCTTTTAGGAGATTCTTTGTTCCAGGAGATAGCAATGCAGGATTGCACAGGCGTAACTTTTACGAACGCGCAAATGAAGTCGTTAGATGTTCGGAGAGAAAGACTTATTGTGTACTTTGTATCTGCTGCATGGTACTTCTCATCACATCACTTATCATCGCCTTGGCACCTTTGCGAAATGGTATTTAAATGTCAAATCTCCATTTTGAACGAGCGCCAGTTCTCAAGTGACATAAATATTAAATCGCGCATTTGAACGTCATAAATTTAATTTTTACATAAAAAACGTTGCATTTGTTACATTTGTTTCGTATTTTTAAACGCATATTATTTCTTTCTTTAGGCTGCATTTGTTCTGAAGAAGATCGAAAAAAGCTTGCAGATGAGGAAAGGGACGCCGTGCCTCGGATGGAGAATGGAGAGGTGCGCATCTTGTTTATTTTTGAAAAATTACTTTATTTGATTTAAACTGAACTAAATATATAAATATCTCTTTAATTGAAAAATATATTATACCTGTTATCTGCATTATATGTTAATAAATAAATTCTATATTTAGTAATGTTATAAAATTTTTTTAATTTATTTATGTATGAGAAGAGTAGAAATTATGAATTAGAATACGTTCGACTAAAGTAAAACAGACATTGTATATGATAGCAGAGCCAAAAAGTTAATCATTAGGTGAAATTATAGCAATGCGTCCATTGATTATCCATATTTTGTAATAACTCAAGATAGTCGAATGTAACGAGAATCTTGCAGGTATTTCCATGGGATAACATAAGGTTACCTGCTTTTGCACATCCTACTAGGTACAATATTACCATGCATCCAAATCTTACCACCTTAGAATTTAGAGGTAAGTTAAAAAATCTTACATTTAAAAGAACGTATTCCCCTTTTTGTATAATATATAATAAATTCATCGCTCGTTTTAATTTACAGGACGAGTCACAATCGAATTTTACGTTGATGAAGAGACCAAATTTATCGTCTTCCATAGTAAAAACTTGACAATAAAGGAGCAGGTAAGTAACGTCGAGCTACACACATGACGAGTGCCATTTTACATGTTAATATCTGTCATCATTTAACTTTCGAGAATTGACTTTCAGATAGTCAAAGATGGTCAAGGAGATTTTCTGAAAATTTCCAAATTGCTCGAGTATCCGAAGCGCGAGCAGCTATATCTGGAATTGGAGGACACATCGTTTCGAAAAAAGAACAATTACACACTATTCCTGAGTTTTAATTCGACGTTGAATTCTACTGAACTTAAAGGGTTCTATTTTAGCAGTTACACCACTCCTGAAGGAGACTACAGGTAACTTTGAAATTATAATTAATTCCTTTACGGCAAATGAATAATTCATCTGTACACGGAAAAAATGCTGTTGCATTAAACGTTAACAGTCACGGGCTGTCACAAACATAAATAATTCACTTAATTATATTTGTTATGGATTTTAATTTTAAGCATTAAACTAAATATCCAGATTATTAGGACAACAATCTGATATTTTACATTTATTAATACTGATATTATTTCTACGATTTTATTTCAATTACACCGATCTTGTTGATACAACATTAATCTTCTTTCCGTGTAGTAACACTAGACTTCTAACTTATTTCTTCAACTTTCAGATATTTGGCCACAACTCGCTTCGAACCGACATACGCGCGCATGGCCTTTCCATGTTTCGACGAACCACAATTTAAAGCTAAATTTAAGATATCAATATACAGGGATAGATTTCACATTGCGTTATGTAATATGCCCGCGATAAATACTGAGGAGGCCGGATTTTACTTGGGCACAAATCTGGTAAGTAACGCGCTTTTGTTACTTGATCAATTTAATGTGAAAGCTTCGCGATCGGCATCTTAAAAGTATCACCTTTCTCACCATGCCGATCGTAAGTACAAGTCACATTATTGCAATTACGATATTACCTGTGAATGACTGCATTTGCATCAACCTGATCCAGAACAATGTTACCTTTCAGCTGCGCGATGACTTTCAAGAGTCCGTAGACATGTCGACGTACTTGGTAGCTTTCGTGGTATGCGATTTCAAAAGAGTCTTCGAACTAACGAAGAGAAATACATCAGTAAGTGTGTACGCCACATCGCACATGCTGCCGCATATGAAGTATGCCATGACCACTGCTGCTCGTATTATGGATTACTTTGAATCTTTCTTTGGCATACCTTACCCCTTGCCAAAGCAAGGTATGCTCCTCAAATAAAGAATACAGCATAATTAAAGATCTCCATTTTAGCTGAATATATAATATTTTTTTGCCCTTAGATATAATAGCAATCCCCAATTTTGAGCCCATCGCTATGGAAAATTGGGGCCTAATTAATATTCGAGAATCGTTCTTAATGTACGATCCGCAAGAAACACCTACCAAACTACAGGAGTATATAGCCGTTATTATGGCTCACGAATTGGCTCATCAATGGTTCGGCAATCTCGTCACAATGAAATGGTGGAACGACCTGTGGCTGAACGAGGGCGCCGCGACGTTCTTCGAATACAAAGGCGTGAATCACATTTTTCCCGAATGGGGCATGATGGATTTATTCATATTACACAAAACGCAGCGAGCACTCGAACTTGACGCGCTAGCCAACAGTCACCCAGTAAGCGTATCCGTCGAAAACCCCATCGAGATAGAGAGCATATTCGATACAGTTAGCTACTTCAAAGGCGCTTCCATCCTCTACATGTTGGAAGTAGTTTTGTGCGAGAATGTTTTTAAACGCGGACTAAACGATTATCTAAATCTGCACGCGTACGGAAATACAGAGACCAACGATCTGTGGGACGTTTTCACAAAACATTCCAAAAATACGTCTATTAGTACGGAGCTCGACGTGAAAGTAAGTACAACGTGTGGGACTAATCGTTCTCTCTCGCATATTTCATAAAATTAAAATATTTCGGCAGACTATAATGAACACTTGGATCCAACAAATGGGCTTCCCACTTGTTACCATCATTCGCGAAGACAGTACTATCACGGCGACCCAAAAAAGATTCCTTTCTTCGCCGCGAGAAGACGCAATAAACATTTCGCAACCCAAATCGTCCTTTGACTACAAGTGGTACATCCCGTTGAATTGTTACACAGATAAGGATGACCCACTCGAATCTCCTTTGGAAGTGTGGATGAACATGACCAACGGTAATAATTACATTATTTATTTGTCTGTTTGGTATCCGTTTAACATGAAACCGTATTCATTCGCTTCGTCGCCTTCCTCCGAAAATCCTGACTGAGAAATTAAAGATAAATATTTTGTGTTTCACTTAGCGACTTTCGACATACCGAGCGACGTCGATTACATCAAATGCAACATCAACCAAACTGGCTTTTATCGAGTTAACTATCCGAACGAGATGTGGATCTCGATCATCAAAACTTTGATGAAGAACCACACCAAGTTCAGTCCGGCAGATCGAGCGAGTCTCATCGACGATGCATTTTCGCTTTGTGATGCGGGCGAAGTGGATCCTTCGATTCCACTGGAACTTTCGCTCTACCTGATTAACGAGAGAGATTATACGCCATGGGAAACCGCGCTACGATATCTGAACTTTTGGAAAGACAGGCTAGCCGAGAGCGAAGCATATAAGAGATATATCTTGTTCTTTAAGCAACTGTTGGGTCCGATTACAAGATACATTAGCTGGACAGATGAGGGATCTCACTTGAAAAAGTTAGTACTACATTCAAACATCTTGTTAGATATCTAATGATTAACGTAACGTATGTACACATACACATTGTACCAAATTTTGTCATCTTAATACAGATTATTGAGAATGGCAGTACTGAAGTCCGCCATCGAATTAGAAATGGACGATGTGGTGAAGTCTGCAAAGAATCTCTTTCAAGAATGGATATCGAAGGGCAAACGCATCGCACCCAATATACGGAATATCGTTTACATGGCAGGTAAAGAAAGGATACGTTATTTATAAAAATTGTTTGTACATTAAGTACTGATTAGATAATATCAGCATAATTAGAAAAGTAAAGTATTTTTACAATGCAAACCTGTTGTAGGCATCAAATTCGGAGAGGAGTCTGACTGGCAGCATTGCTGGCAGGTTTACCTTAAAACGCAAATTCAGAGTGAGAAGCTGTCAATGTTGCAAGCCCTAGGTGCGACGATGGATCCTTGGTTACTCAAACGTTATCTTCAACTTTCGTTGAACCGGAGTCTGCTCAACGCGCAAGAAGTTAATACCGTCATCACGTCCGTTGCTGCCAATCCGCGCGGACATTATCTCGCTTGGCGTCATATTAAAGCTTACTGGCCGCAAATAGAAGCATTGTATATGAATGAATCGCTCTCGATAAGCAATCTTATACTTAACGTTGTTCCTGACTACTTTATCACGGAGTACGATTATCGCGAAGTAAGGAGAAGTCATGTTCGCCAAGATATTTCAGCTCGATTTCTTTAAAGTTGTACCAAAAATATTTTATATATTTTTTTTTTAGGTCTCGGGATTCTTCAAGCAACGTGACATTCGCAGCAGTAATCGCACTCTACAGCAAAGTTTAGAAATGATCAAGTTCAACATCCACTGGGTGAAAATAAACGCGGAAGGCGTAAATAATTGGCTCGTGAAATATTTCACGGAAATGAAGCTTGCAAGTTAACCTTCGTTCGCCGAGAATGAGCCTGACAAGCTGAGTCATAATTCAGCCGTATATTCAGCCGTGATACCATTATGGCAAATTTTTCTACAATTCTCATTCGTGCGCCCTTAAGAAATACGTGTGGTAGCCTAGAAAAGTGAAATCCCCGATTATTTAGGGAGCGAAAAGAATCTCTATCGTCGTCTAAGTAAGATATAAATTTGCGGATCAAAAACCAACCGTTTCTATCAGTTTCAGAGATTTGTTTCCGTCAGGCAAATCGAGTTTAAAAGACAAGTCTTAGACATCATTTTTCTTGAGAAGGACATTCAAATGTATGTCCTGTACAAACCTCGTTATCATAGTTTGCTTGTCGGAAAGAATTCTCTAATAAGCCTAGAGAAAAGCCGAATTGTTTGTACGTAATACATTATACACCAATTTATACACTCTTTCGAAAGTATTTATTCAACGTGCACGCAGTGCATGCCAATCGGATCACTAAGTATATAAAATACAAGGAAATAGCGAGAGCAAGGATCGTTGTTCCTAGGACAGTCATTGACCTGACATTCGGAAGATAAGGGCTAATGGCATACGCCTACTGACGTTGAAAGCTTTAGTCTCTCGGGTTTGCTATACTTCATTATAACAAAAGGAAGCTACGGTCATCATTTCCACGTGTCCAAGCCCCATTTTTGAATCAACCAATATTACTTTAACAGGGAGGAGTCGAGCTTGCGGCAAATTTGTCGGAGGAAACGCTGATTATATTATCCACGTACGTCCTATTCGTAAGTCTACGTGCACAATTAAGGCATTGCAGACATTAAGGTAATAGAATTATCGTGACTATACGAGCGACACATTTAAGTAGCATATCAATATATACGGCAAAGAGCATAATACGTTAAATCGCTCAGGTCTGTGCCACAAGCACCGTCCAGAGAGATAAGATGGCGTTAATTAAAATCGGTGCGAGGATATATGAAAGATTGTAAAAATACAAGGATTCGATGTCTATCATGTGTGTTATGTATTCGTGTCTGCTAGAGGCTTGCTGGAGGCACAGGACACGGCTCGTGTGGAGTTGGTTGTTCTCCATGCGTCGTAGCATAAATAGAGAATTGGATATTTTATTATGAAAAAAAAAATAAAGAAATTTGTATACTTAATCTCTAAACAGCGCTTTATATATACATACGTATGGTGTGCATGTATTAATGTAAGACAGTATGCCGTGTTTGATCGAATACTTTGTGAAGGATCTAGATGCCGACGCAACTTATCTCTTGAACATCACGGTTTTCGAAGCATCGCGTTCAATTGTGAGAAATCTCATCGTGGTTAACAGTAGTAAACCTCAATTTGAAACAGGATCTGTTGTGAATTTCGACACCCAAAGCGAATCTTGTGTATTTCGGTCTATTGCTAGCTTTACGATCGTACAATTCCGATCGTGGCGCAGAGAGATGTACGCTGCTCTATGAACTAAAAATCCGAGTTCAACCAAAACATCGTTGGTTTTTATTCGGTCGCCATCTCTCGAAAGGAAGAGACAACCCGAGAGTACCGTATCATAAACACCACATCTCTATAGAGCTTCGCCGTTCGGAATCGGCGTTAAATTCCATACGTCTAACGCGGATGTATGCAAGAGAGGACACGATTTGCCCAAATCGAGGGCCAGAGTTCTACGTGGACTCTAGTGTCGAATTTAATGACGATAATGTCACTTCTTTGAATCTAAAAGATGAAGACACTTAATTTCTGAAATAATTGTAATTTGTATATTTTTTGGATTTCTAATAGCACATTGTTAGGAGGAAAAGCAGTCGTCCGACAAGCAAAAAGGTTGAATCCTGGTCTAGTCCTCGCCCGTTATTCTCTTTTCGCCTAAAAGTTATTATTTCGCGTCTTATCGTTAGTGCATATCTTCCCTAAGGTATACACCTCTATTTATTATTATAATAAGGACCAACGATGTTTGGACAATAAACACCAGAAGATAGTGAGACATATAAAAGTATGTAATTATTACACGTTAATTGTTTTAACAGTGTAGAGTGATTTAATGTTCTGTGATTAAGGCTTAAGTATTTAAGTATTTATTGCATAAAACTGATCGCGCACGGATACAAAGGAAGATATGAAGGTCTGCAAAGTGTCTAATAGTTATACACGGAAGGCAAAACCGATTTGCCGAGCAAATTCCCGCTCCGATCAGAAAACATCAAACTGTCTACAAACATTCACGTGCCCTTTTATTCCTTAAGTATTTCTCGTTGCTACCGGAACTCGGTAGTTAGTCAGGTCTGGGATTCGCGTGTTCTTGTAAAGATAACAATTTAAGTATCAGCACTCGTTTAAATGAAACACATTATCACTCGTTTCCACGCTCAAACACATAGGACATGACGGTTCTTCGGTATTTTCTTGCCACGAATCTCTACTGCCATTTTGTGCTTGCCATTATCGATGCCTACTGCAAAACGACATCTCGATATTTAATACTTATTGTTAATATCTTTCTTATATTGGATCAATCCACTTAACGGCGCATAGTCCATTGCGCTCGTCGCATTTACATGGTTCCATGAATGAACTGAGAGCACGCACATATAAATACCTACACGTACACGATCCCTCGCACATGGAAAAGCGATCTGTAAATAATTGCAGCGTAAAATCATTTTTCATCATTGTTCCATTGAGTAGATTTTGATACACTCCAAACGGCGAGTTAATGAATCGACGCACAATTAGATATCTTACGTGTAAATAGCATATTTTTTCACTAACGGATATTCTCTCCTTTTTAAGAGTTAACGAACGGCCGCTTCGGAATTTCTAAGGAAGCGTCTGCTCGCCGACCTGTGCGAGATGCGAACCGATTGGCCTATTTTATCACATTCTTACACTACGCGAAAGTACTCGCGTAAATGCATACGTGATACTTTCGTTACTTGCGTGTTCATGGATCAGAATTGCAGCTGCGAGTTTTGGTCCAATAACCATCTTCAGATATTCGACGTTTTACTTTCCACGGTATTTAAACCAGAATTTTTTTTACTGAGGTTTAATTAGATAAGGGGAGAGAGAGAGAGAGAGAGAGAGAGAGAGAGAGAGAGAGAGAGAGAGATTTGTCAAGGCGGATAATGTCAATTTTACTTTTGGCCGAGACAAATTTTATTGTTGTATTAAATTCACTAGACACGAGGAAAATGCTATATCGAAAGACTGGATACCAGAGTAACCAAGAGTATACTTATGTACTTTACGCAATCACGACACGATTACATCTTAAGAGAACGAGGCTGTCTTACATCTCATATTTATGTCAATGAATTAACATAATAATATATATTGTGTACCGTTCTCAATTGTATTGTTGTCATAGATATTTTGTTGTATAAAAACATACGAAACATGTACAAGCATATAAATGAATATATTATATGTTTAAAGTATATACACCAGAAATGCAATTCCTTAAATAATTTTAATTTATACATAAAATTCAATATATAACGCACCTCTTTCTCTATTTCTTTTCTGTAGTTATATAATATAACGTTACAATAATTATATAAAATAATGAGAATACTAATAAGAACACTAATTTATAAATTAAATAAAATTTATTACATTATAATACAAGATTGTAGCCCAATGCAAACATCATAAATTATTAGATTGTGCAAAATTAATTTTTATTTCTAATAAATTCATAGTAAAATCAGAGACAAATTGAGAACAATTATTGTAACTGACTATTACATACATGAATTAAATGGTTGATTATGAAATTATGAAAAACATTTTGGAGTTAATGTTTATTGTCTAACTAAAATTTAATGTTTATTGTCTAACAAGTGAAGAAACTTGAAAATTAAGACAAAACAATTACACGGGGATTTCGTAAGGATTTCCTTATGATTTCGGAGACAACGTCCCTCGATTAAATCAAGCGTCACCCCTTTGCGCGGTGAAGGGAACCGCGGTCAGTGACTGTCGTAAAAAGTACCTATGTCAATCGCAATGAAACGTCGCCGCGAGCGGCTATTATGCGTATCGGTTTGGAGGAGCAATAATGCGCTCGAAAAAGGGAAAGGGACGCGGATATCAGCGTTATCACTCGAGCGAAGGACCGAGGAGACACGTGAGGCGCGTCGCTCGCCGGAGAGGCTGTCGCCTGGCAACGGGCCGTCGTCGACGAAGGTCGTGCGTCAGGTGAGAGTGAGACGAACGCTCGGTATGCCCCGCACGCACAAGATCCGCGGTAAACGGTGCCACGTGTGCGGCCGAGCGTGGGGTCAAAGTTCGCCGTCGCGACCTCGACGCGGAGTGGGAGCGGAAAGGCGACGGACACGGCCGACTGACGGGGAAATCGTCGTTGCGCAGTTCGGAGACGCGCGGGTTCCCAGCTCTTCGTCAATTATTAGCAAATTATTATTAGAAATCGACGGACGGAAGGCTCTCGTCGCCTGCGCGAGCGCTTCCGGATCCGCTCCGGAAGCTGCTGTCCGCGCCGCGCTCGCTGGCGAACGCGCGGCGTCACGTGGAGCGCTGTTAAAAAAATGAGGCGATCGCTTCTGAGAGACGCGGAGAAAGTATAAATTGTTTCGCGGAGGATAAGAAATTACATCCGTGGCGCGGTGCGTTACGCACGACGTTGGTTCACGCGACTTTCGATCCGCGTTAGATTAGACTCGCGGCGGATCGCGGCCCGGTAATCGGGCGGCAAGCGCTCGGTGGCGAGATACCATCGGCAATAAGCACGGAACAAAATAAAGGAAGTTATTACAGCGTTTTATTTTTGCACGAAGGCCGAGGATGACACAAACGAGCCGTTATATCGCGCGTACCCGCGCGCTAATCACAAAGAGGGTTTGCATCATTTTCGCCATTCGCGGCCGGCAATCAGGCCAGCGGACGGTCTTTCGTCAACGAATCGAACTCGCGCGCATAAACGTATAAAAACGGCGCACGTGCGGCTTGTCCATTGGCGCTGGCTCGGCGTTCCGTACCGCGCGATACATCGCACTCATACGTGTATTTTAATCGAACCGCGAGCGTGGAGCCACACGTGTCCGCATGACACACGAACGGTAAGGCGAGCATGATGAAATTTCAGGAGCGCACTCGTCGACGAGCGTCGTTTTATCTTCATTCTCGAGAGATCCTATTTATCGTTCTTCACACTCGAGTGACACAGATATTCCCTTGAAAAACTTAATTCAATTCTCTATGAGATAACAGACAGAAGTGCACAATCGAAAGGGGGGATTTGGAGATCGTCCTCGCCAGCTAAAACAATGCTTTTTTTTTATTTTACCAGCAAACCGATTTAAATGAAATTCCAGGGAGAAATGACGTCGCTTTGACGTCGAGCTTTGGAACAATGTAGTACAAAGTTAGAGCAACCTGGAACAACTTAAAAAATTGTAATTTAAAAAAAGGGGGTGTCAACTTCGTGCACTCGGTCTTCTCTCCCTAAAGATTTTCGAGTGGAGTCGGAAATTTCTCGCAGGCGAGACCCGTTGAACGCCAACTCGGGGAAAATAATACTAATCGCGAGATATTATTCTCCTGTCCTCAATGGTGAGTAATCGCGCGATTATAACCATTTGAATTTCTATACGCAGGCAAGAGACCATAAATTTCTCGAAGTGCGTATTCCTTGGTAGCTCCGAGCTTCGCGAGGCTTGTTATGAATACCGCGTGTTACACAATTGCGCATTAACGTTTCTTCATCGCGAGTAAATGGATTCGAATATGCGCGCGGAGTCAATAAATTGCGCAAAATGGGCGCGAGAGTATCGCGACGCGTTCGATCATTGTCCGCCGTAGCCGCGATTATGCGTACGGGTTTTATGGGAAAGCGTACTGTTTTTTGTTATAAAGACACGTCCATTGGATTATCGCTCGTCGCGTCCAGTCTGGATGAGCCATTACGCTGATGGCGGAGGAGCGATCCGTAAATTTTAAGTCCGGTTTCACCAACGTTGTTTAGCTTTAAGCTCAGTTTAATTCATTCTTTAGGAAGTTACTTTAGAAAGAGACGAACACGAATTAAACAAAGATTAAAGTCAAACGACGTTTGGTAAAACCGGGCCTTAATCATTTTACGACTTAAGTTTTTCTCTGCCTTGCCTTACGTTTACGACTAACAATGAGACAGACTTAGGCCCGGTTTCACCAAATGTTGTTTAACTTTAAAGCCTCCGCTACAATGATTCTCGGTTCTGTCTACAATGGTCGTAGTCGTAAGAATAATCGACTGCGATTGGTCAATTCAGTCAGACGCATAAGAATTGACCAATCGCAGTCGATTATTCTTACGACTACGACCATTGTAGACAGAACCGAGAATCATTGTAGCGGAGGCTTAATACTTGGTTCAATGCATGTTTGTCTCTTTCTAAAGTAACAGTTGGAAAGAAAGACAAAGAACGAATTAGGCTAAGCTTAAAGTTAAACAACGTTGGTGAAACCGGGCCTTAAGCGTCTACGGATCGTTCTCTGCCATCAGCCTCACTCGGCCACGTTACGGCGGATCGCGAAACAAATACTTACGATCCGCTTGAAATTCTACTAGTCAAAAAGAAAAGCCGCTAACGAGCGGCGAGCGCGACGTAACAAGCACGCGCTGACGCACTCGTGCGTGTTGACACGCGCGTTCGCGAGTCTGAAATGCTAAATCCGATTCTTTTTGACCGGGGACGCCTCGATTTTTCCCCCTTTTTCGCTCCGCGAGTCGCGGAGAAGTCGGCGATAACGGAATATGCGGCGGCGCGCGGAGACGCGCGCGCAAAACAGCCGGCAATCGGCGTACGCGCGGGGAAATGAGCGGCGTCGGCGCGGCCCTGACAAGCGCGCGACGTCGGGCCGCGATTGCTGAGTCACATTTCGCGAACGATCTCTCCCGGCGAAGAGTGCGCGACGTCGCGTCGGCCCGCTCGCTCGCTCGGACGGACGGTTTCTCCGCGTAAAACCTGCAACTCCGTGCTCCGTGTCGCGCGCGGCAAAAGTGTCGTCTCATCGCTCCGGACGTCGCGGCGCAAAAGAGCTCCGAGATAACGCGCGTCGCTTGATCCGCGGACGGGCCCGTCTCGCGTTCGAATCGGCCGGGACTCGCGTGATCGTATGATCGAATCCGCGAGTTCTCGCTCTCCGCGCCGCGCTGCTCCTCCGCCCTCGTCCGCCGCGCTTCGCGCTCGCAGCTGATCCGCGCCGCGAGGCCGCGTCTCGCCGCAGCCGCCGCCGCGCTGTCATCGCGAGACGAGACGGGGACGTGCGGAGCGGCTGCCTGTCAGAGGAGTGTCCGCCGGGCATGCGTGTGCGACGCGCGCGCGCTGCTGCTGTTGCATCGCAAGGCTCTTCTGTGGCTCGTGTGTGCGCGATTTTGAGGTTATTTCGGTGACTCGGTGTAACTGACCTACGCCCGGCCGCGAGGGAGAGCCTTTATTTCCGCCCCGGCGCCCCCAGCGATCGGTCGCGTCGCCCCGGGGAGCTTCTGCCGGCGGCTGCCACGCCGGCGAGTCGGAACGGCGGATCCCGGAGCGTCCGCTGGACAACGACGCTCTAACCTCAAAAACTGGAGCACGCGGCTACGCTCGCGTCTCGCGTCTCGTCGCGTGAAACGGTGCGTCGCCCGGCTGTTCCCTTGGCGAGAGGACCCTTGGTTGACGCGGGACCGTCTCCGCGTCGCTCGCGCGTCATGTCAATGAACGTTTCGCGGGATTGCGTCACTTCCTCGTGACGCCGAGTCTGTCGTTCGTATCTCGCAGGGACGCCTTGAAAATCCGTCGACTCCGACTCCGCTTTCGTCTTCTCCGCGAGAAAGAGATTCAATTCGGTAAGATGCTGTGCATAAAGAAACTGTATCGGGAGGAGCTGCTGCAGCTCGCGCTGCTGCTCTCCCTGCTGCGCGTGGACCCGGAGTCCTACCTGGGCCTGGACATCCAGACCATCGGCGTGGGCTCGCTGGACCTCAACAACGGCTCCGGCTGGCACACGGACCACACCATCGTCCACCGGCCGATGTACGTCCACCCGAAGAACCCGGACTCCATGCTCCTCAACTACCAGCGCGACCTCTTCGAGGAGCTCAACTCGCTGGGCAGATACAACAGAATGAACTCCGGCCTCAACGCCATACACGCCTACCTGCTCAACGTCGAGGAGCCCGACGGGGACGCGACCGTGACGGCGGGCTCCAGCGCGCCGGTCTCCGCCAATGCTACCAGGAACGTGACGTCTCCCGACCCACCGACTGGCACGCAGAGTCCTGCGGAGCCAGTCGGCGCAGCGGAGCTCACTCAAGAGGTAACCCTCCTTCTATTCACATTGGCAGCGCGGAGGACGCGTGCAGTTGGAATAAGGATTAGCATATGTCGCGATAACATGGACATTTCTTCAGGTTGCTAGAGAGCTGGGCACTCTATGCGCTTGAGCACACAAGTGGGACTTGGTTCACGCCAATCTGCCATCAAGTAACTGGCGCTTCGATTAGCACACATAGCTACCGTACAGCACACACGTGGACCATGTCTCTCTTCGCGTTACAAATTGATGCTAATCCTTATTCGTTCGCTTCTCCTGCTTTGCGAACCGATGCTCGTGCTTTCAATCTGACATTTATGCCTGGTATTTGAGTATCGTTTCAGGTTGTATCAAGCGTTGCGTTGTTTAAACATGAGAAGTCTTTGTCTAACCCACTTCTTATTTCAACATATAGCATTTCTTTGGACAGTTAATTATACAAGATATCCCTTATAATTAATCATACGAAATATATAGAGGACAGTCCCCTATTACGAGATAGGCTGCTAATGTGAGATAGCGGAGTTGCTGCTAAATTAACAGGCACCATGAATGTATTGCCCTTGTGGTGAAATCTGTTTAGTGGAAAATTGATAGATCGTTGCGAAACAAGATTTGTGATCGACTTTGGACGTTGAAAAACCTACTGTCTCGTAATAGAGGACTTTCCTCTACAATTTCCTTCAAAAATGTCATAATGCAATATCGAGCCACACAGGAGAGCATTGATACTTTATATCGTATTATCACTCGTTGCGTCTTACAATACTTCTTCTTGCCAAAGACACGGACAATCCCATAACGTGAATCAGGCAGCATGCAAAAAAGTCAGACTTAAAAATAATATTTGGCGGCGCGTATCTGGAACATTGTTTTTCCTCGCGCGAAGCGAACGTTCTAAAAAATCAGAAATAACCGCGTCCCGTCACGGCCACGTTGGTAGGCGGGAGAGCGCAGTATCGCTCTTTGACAGCAGTGTAATCGCGTCATGTAAATGACCCCGCGCATCCTTGCGACGACCTTGCTATCTGCGGAGGCGCCCTTCTTCCTCCCCGCCCTCTCTCTCTCTCCCTCTCTCGCTCTCGCTTTTGTCTTTCCCCTCTTCTTTTCGCGCTACTAAATTGGCTCGTAGGTAACTTTAATCTTTCATCAATATCAATTGAATCCGCCTCGTGGAATCTTACGCAGTTTATATAACGAATAATTACGTTTTGCGTCGAGTTGGATAAGACTTTGATGTGGTATCTCATACGCGCGTCATTATAAACGGTCAAACGTGGAATTAGATAGACACATAATACACCAAACTCGGCCAGTTCTTTTTATGTGTACAGTTTATTTTTACTTTTACGAGGGATCGTGAATGGACATTCTACAGAATCCAGACGTATTTATCAATGTATCTGTACGCGTCTTCGACTTACAATTAGAGATGTTATCTAACAGCATCCAATATTCGTTTCGTTTCGAGCTCGTGTTGTTTCCGTGTCCTGTGAAAGGACGCTTATAAAATTCCGTAGAAATTCGTGAAACGAAGTTTACGAGCGTCAATACCATAAATGTTGCCGCGTGGACGAAAGACAACAGGTTGATGAGTCATAAACCCACTTTACTTTGTTGTACACTCTGAGATCATGGCTACGTCCGCCCGCGATTCGTTTTATTTTCACGATTTTTCTTTGGCCGAAGCTACACGATGATCGGTTGTTTCCTTCTGAGGACAGGCGTCCTTGCGTACGCAATTTACCTATACCTGGCCGATCTGGGTCAACTAATTGCGAATCCGTCCTCAATCGGCTTAGCGACGATCGCTTTGAGTAAATTTAAATCCCTCGATCGTATACATTGGACGGCAATGACGCATTATTACGAACGACCGATACGTGCTGTGTGATAAAAAGTATATCGTCTCGAGACTGATACCGCGCGTCGTAAATGATAATAAATTAATCACGCGCAATGACTGCCGTAATTGACAAATTTTAGTAAAGTTATTTACGAGGGGGAAACCGCTGAGGGCATTGTGGTGTACAGATTTGCGGCATTACTGGGCATTGCTAGGCATTTTTTGGGCATTAGTTTGGGCATTAGGTCTTTTGCTGGGGCATTATAAAGATAAAATAAGATAAATTAAACAAAACAAGATAAATAAGACAAAATAAAGATAAGATAATAAAAATTAAGTAATGCCCACTGGGCATTAGTGGGCATTGGTGCACAAGATTTTGGTCAGCGGTTTCCCCCTCGGTTATTTATTACATTCGCGACGTTCGGAGTTTGCTAGCAGAATCTTATATCGTTCTGCAATTAGAATATTCAAAATTTCCAGATAAGATAAATAATTTAGAATAAAATTCTGAATATTCGAGAATGACGCAAAGAGTAAAAGAATTGTTGCAAACATTGGCTTATTATTTTATGCTCGGTCATATTTATTGGATTACAATCATAGAAGTAAAATTCGTATGGCTGAAATGCGATAATCACAAATTTGATGGAATAAAGGACCAAGAGCCGTGACAGGGTATTAATGTCTAAATATTTCACATTTTAAATTTATTACGAGAAATATTACCTCAGCCATTTTTTGGCAATAAATTAAAAATATGAAATATTTAGACATTAACACCCTGTCACGGCTCTTAGTCCTTCATTCCTTCAAATCGTAGAAGTATAATTTACAGACACTACCTACTTTTGTTTGTTTGTGAGTTTCTTTGATTCGTGTTAAATCGAATTTAAAGCTTGCTTGTCTGACTCTAATACATTTTCACGAACCAACTAATAAAGTTTTTAGAAAAAAGGATAATTAATATCAGCTCCGAGAAAAATAATAAATAATTCTGAAATTAATTAAAATACAAGAAGAGACGTATTTAACGTGTGATCTATTAATTGAAATTACGTCTGGAGGCTAAAACTTTGGTAGTTTTCCTTGTGACAGAGTGGGACGTACCTAATTAGATACGCGATTGATTTACCTAAAAGAGAACATTGACTGGATTTAGTCATTAATGCGATCTTTGGTAAACTAAGGTCACGCAAGGCTATGATATCACTCGCCCGTGGAAGCGAAAGCTTTTCTTGAATAACAATCATATAATTTGCATCATAAAATTTTTCAGGTGTAATTAAACACTCGTGTTTTTGCAAAGATTGCTGGCTCTATCAAGTTGCGAATACGCATCGAATGTCTGAAATACTTGCATGAAATACTTGCATATTTTAGCACGAGTGTAGGTACGCAGGCCGTTATTCTAATTATTGGAATTCAATGTAATCTACGATAGTGTAGATTATACTTGATTTTCAATTAACAATACGAACGAGACCGCGATTTATTTAAATTATTTTCGGTGTATCATTTTTTTACTCTCAACTCTTAACTTTTATTTTTGTAATATAAAATGTCTTTTGTTTCGATATGGAGAATACATTTTGAGACGCTGACAGAACTTTTAAGAATTTTTAAGAAATTATGTGCTACTTGAAAGAGATGTTGTTTTCAAATGATAATAAACGCCTCGATGACGCACAGTGCTTCAAACACGGGATGACGTAATCGATCGCAGTAAGAGTGTTTTAATAATAATAGAGTGATTCTTTTGTTATCTCTGCTTCTCTCAAAGACTGGACTAACATTTCGTGAAATGCGCTTATGCGTCAAGTGCGAATATGCACTTTGATAAGTAAGCAATTTTCGCGTCGAAAATATTTCTGAAATAAGCTATGATATCATTCGTATAATCCAAAAAAAGTCACGGTTAATATGATGCAAAAGAAGTGACATAAGGAAGCATTGCTTTCATGGCATCAGCGTGTCACGTTTTTTTGTGCCTGTCACTTATTATACTTTTCGGAATAATACATAAATATATATATTATCGTCAAAGTTTTTAAAAAGAATGTTCGCATTTGCGACGCTGCAATAATCAACGCCTCGAGCCTCATCGATCTTCTCGTTCCGAGACAAAAAGTTGACGTTTATAAATAAGAATAAGTCAGCGGATCTGTGTAATTCTACATAAACATTTTTTACTTACTGACTGAATGTCACTAAGCACAATTAAAAATTACTCGCAAATATATTTTCCGTACATTACCGAGAACTGCCTTGTCCCAAATTAGACATCTGGCCTCATTCCAACATGCGAGTGACACGAGTGAATTTATCGGGCCTTCGAAGAGCATTCGGCGGAATTTGTATCAATTTATTTTGCAAAAAAGATCAATTGCTCAAGTCTTTCTCGATGACAATTATAGATACCGCGTCGATCAGCCTGGCCGATTCGAGTAAACGTTTCGGCGAGACATTGCTAAAAACTTTTCGTACGGTTTTCCGCGACGGCCTCGATTACAAAAATAATTGCGCGCGTTGAAAACGACTTCTCGTAAAAAAGGTATGCGCGAAAAGCAGACGTGGCCCCGATTCCTTGAGGATTGATGCGACAGAGCGGAACTCATAGTGCAAATCTCTCGTTTCCAGAGCGATATATACGCGTCCAGAATTAAGAAACAGTCGGGGATTTTCGACGCGATCATAAAAAGGCGCTCATGCAAAGGAATTCGCCTTTCTGTCTCTTTTTACGTGTTAAGGACGCGTTGAATGATTGAGTGCCATACAAACTTCAAGGCTTGCATTTTATATTTTCGCCAAAGTTTTCATGACACGTGAAGCAGATCCTCGTTTTGATCGGTAGTCAGAGTGTTCGTGCTCTTTTTTTTTCTCAAAGATGTGAAATTTATATATATTTATATATGGATACGTGCAAATTAAACGAAAGAGTGACACTAACTGCCGCAGTAAATATTGGCACGCGTTGAAAGTCCTACAGAAATCGGCCAAGTATACAAACGGTACCCTCAATGTAAATTTACATGTATTTCGTAATATTTGGAAACTACGAATCTCTAATATTTACTTGAACACCGATTATAACATAATCCTTTGTATCATATTAGTAACAACATACCATATTACTTTTTTAACGTGTTCTATACTA